GAAGTTAAGGCTGTAACAATAAGAACAGGACTAGAGAGTCCTTTTCCCCCCACCTCTCAGAATCCTGTCGCCTTTAAACAGAACAGCTCCTGGAGAAATGCAGTCTTGTCTGGATCAAGGAATTAAAGGTTATGATCTCTGGATTCCTTATTCCGTTATGCCATTTACTTTCTAAGCTTGGTGCAACATTTAGTATCCATATGGTTTAGTTTACCCTTCTTTATGCTGGCCATGGCATTCTCAGTGAGTGTTCAGTGCTTGATATACTGAGATGAAAATAAATGAAATCTAAACTTTATTCAAGGGCTGGCTTAGTAAGTAAACCAACCTCCCCTTAGTCATAGCTGTCACCGTACTACAGAAATGTATAGACACTGTTGGGATGAGCGACAGGACTTGTTTTGCGGTATTTCTAGATAATTGTGCCTGCTGGCTGCCTGCATTAAGACTTGGATCTTCACTTGCTATTTACATTCCTTTTGAGTTGATAATCCAGTTTGACTGAGCCATAAATGCCAAGAGAGAAATGCTATTTGATAGAATTTGTACTGAAAGCCAGTGTGAGTCCAAAGGGGAAGCAAAGCCACTAATAAGTTCAAGCTGGCAAGGGTAACTTCACCACAGTTTCCTGGCACGGGTTCTGGTTAAGTATGAATTTGCTGCTGAACATCACAACTGCCCTTTATCTTTATAATGGGCTGAACCAAAACTAGAAATAAACACATCTGTAGTTCTCCATTTTTGCTTTTCCCGATCTAAACGTTACAGTTTATGTCAATGTCATGAGTGGGTTTGTTGGGTTTTTTTGGTTGGTAGCTAATGTCCTGCAGACTGGTGAAGAAGGATTGGTTTTATTTTATGGGAGGCAAAGAAGGATGTTTCACGTCTCATTACAAGAGCAGGGTGCTCACTGCTATAGCATCTGCAGGTTGCTCCCAATGAAATGGTGCAAAGAGGGGATAATCAGCTGCTTTTTTAAATCTTCTCGCAGAAATATGGATTTTGTGTAATGACAATCAAAAGAATGCCTGAAAATTAGTTTTCGCCTTAAAAGTAATGATTCATACCTGAATTTAAAACGAAGAACAAAGCTGCCTTTCTTGGAAGACTCATTTTAAGTCCATTTCTCTCTCTGTTTTGCACTAATTACTAATTTTTGCTGCCCTCTGTGCAGAACTTTTCTGCCATTGTAACTGCTAAATTAGCAGGAGTGATAATGACGAGCAAGGATGATGCAAAAGGAAATGGCAGTCAATTCCACATACCTCCATTAAAAGAAAAAAAAACCCACCCCCAAAAAACAAGGCAGAAATAAGATTAAAGAATCTCTTAGAGGTCCAAGTCTTCAAAGAAATCTGCCTCCGAGTCTGACAAACCTAGATGCAACATTTTAAATTCCATAATCCTCAGTCATGAAGTCATATCATTTGGTTGTTAGTTTGTTTTGTTCAACACAGATATTGTTGCATCATTTCTTCCTTCCTCTGATTCCTGTAACTGTTATGAAAATTATAGAATCTTATGCTTGGAAATACCAGAAATCTTTTCCCCTGCCTCTAGCTAATGGAAGGACAGGTATGCAACGAGAGCTAGGAAACACAATAAATAACTTCCATGTCTAGTGTAAATTAAACACTTTGGAGCAAGTCTTCAGCTGCAAAGCACCGCCAGACCTGTTACTATTCAAGTTGTACTCACTAGAAAATGACTGCAGGGGAACTGCTGATGCTCTGCATATCTTGCAGTTAGTCATGTTCAGACATACTTCAAAACATGACCCATGGTTTTGTCGAGGACAGTCCTGAACCATTTGTATTTAAAAAAAAAAAAAAAGATACATCTGTGGAGATGCATTGCAAGAAAGATGAGCAGAACTCAGTCATCTTTTTTTTTTTTTCCTTGCATTGTTTTGATGAGGATGGTGCTGCTACACTGGCTTCATCCCCTGTAAGGGCTCAGCATCTCTATGGCAAGTAGGCATAGCCTTGCTCTTCTCTGTTTTATACAGATTAAGGCTGGCCTTTGGTCCCTGGCAAGCTGCGTGTTTGTGTTTATACGGCTGGTAAATACCTACTTGTGCAGTAGTAGATCTCCATGGGAATAGGTCTTTCTTGAATTTCATAGCATATTTGCTGTGGATAAAAGCAGCCTCTGGATGAGACAGGAAGTTGTGATGCATTTCAAATCAAACCTCTTAGAGGTTAGAATGGTGAAGAATGTTTCTATTTTAACACTAGTTTTGCTTTTCTTCTTGTTCTTTGTTATATAATGGTTGAGCCCACAAATTAGAAGCATGAGGCTAAAAGCTGAAGAATGAGGGAAGAAACAAAAAGCCATATGGCGATAGCAGGAGGTCCTGCCACCCCACCTTAGGCTCGTGACAACATGCCCTACATTTAACCTACAGTCAGGAACTAATTAACGACACAGATGGAAGTGAGCTAGCATATGTATTCAAAATAATACCCCTAAGGTTTTAATCAGCTGCCCTGCCTCTTTCTGGGTTAGACATTTAAGTTACCATAGAGAGATTTGCAAAATACGTGAGGGATACGTATGGTTAAGGCAACTTTGTGTAGTGGCTGGAGCAGGGGCTCCCCTCTTCTCCTCTGGCTCAGCTGTGACTTGCTCTGCAGTCCAGGGTAAGTTGCCTAAATGTCTTTATGGGTTCAGCCTACCCAGAAGGAAAATAGGATTTCTGATGCGGTTCCTCCTCACCTCAGTATGTTGAGATTCAGTGTTTGCAAAGCACTTTGGAAGCTTTGATAGTGTGTTCTCCAATAAATCATCTACAAGTGGAGAGTCCAAGGAGCATAAGTACCAGGTCTCTCTGCTCTTGCAGTGTCTAAATGCTTTTTCCTCTCTAGAACTACTAATTATCTCTGATAAGGCAACTCTGCTTTTGATTTTGGATAGGATGGTGACTTCTGTATAATCTGTGGCCTTATGCAGAGATTTGGGAGAGGGAGAACACTTAGATGTTTTCAACAGACTAATTAGGTAATTTAATGTTTCTCACTTTAACTTTCTCTTTCCTCCCCACACCCCCAGCTGTCTGAATAGAGGCTCTCCTTCCCTGCAGGGCAGTAGGATCCGCTTATGTGAAGGGACAGGTATTGAAGTTTTTTTTAGAGAAGTGTTTATTTAATGACTGAAATCCCATATACAAACCTACCCTTTGGAGCTTAAGAGCTCTTATAGTGAGAACAGTACACTGGCAGCAAAGCCACTTTCTTCAGTGGGGGTGTGTGTGCACATGAAATGAGACACCCAAGAGCAGAGCAGAGGAAAGTGAGGTGGTGTTGGGCTGGATTTTGCATACTTCTGTTTATAGGCATGTCTGGGCTATTTATGTGCTTATATTGGTGGGGGAAGGGAGGAGCTAGCCTGCACACCTAGAAAGCTTTTTTTTCTTCCTCTTTAAAGTGTAATTATTACCAAATATGCATGTATCCCTCAGGAGTCCTGAGTGTGAGGAAGCTGTTTTGCTGAAACCTGTCACATTTCGTTCTGATACAGCTATTAGCTATAGTTTAGGTGTTGGCCCCATCTGATTTTTATGATCACATAAGTACTGGGCCACCTTCACAGCTGGTATAAATCTATGAACAGAGCACTATAGTTTTACACTAGGCAGTGACTGTGTCTGCCAGAATTGGGTCCACTGGTACATACTGCTTCAATGAAGCTTGACAGTTTTTGTGGAAATAATTTCCCATGATGCCACAATCCATAGTTGTATCTGGTGGCAAGTATGAAAGGTCATGAACCAGGTTAACTGCATTTTTAACTGGGGAGGGGAAGGACCCAATGTCTATGTAATTCACAGGAATCACAGTGTAATACTCCTCTGTGAAAGAAATTGCACCATTATACAACCAGGAGAAAGCAGGAGCTTTGTAAATTAATTTTTCCTGCAAGGCTGTAGGTTTTTATTTATGTTCTATTAAATGTTTGTATCTTGAGCAGTACAACTAATGAAACTTGTTCTCAGACACTTGCATCTTTGCCAGATGTACCTCCTCACCCCTTCTAGTAATTCTAAACACTTCTCCTCTGTGGAGCTTGTGAACTAAAAGTAACTGTACACAGTGTTGTAAGTCCACAAGTGGGTAAGCCCATACACTCGTGTTTGCCTAACTAAGGATGGAGGAAAGGGGGGAGCTTATTTGGGTGGGTCTCAGCTACTTGCGTGCTGGTTACAACTCAGGACCGTGGAAATAGTGTTATCTGTGAAACATGTATCCCTCTATAGAATCTGGCTGAAGTTGGCTCCCAGATTTTTAAGACAGATTAGGGACCCAGGCATAGCAATTGCAAAAGTCTTGTTTCAACATGAAACCACTTAGAAAATGGGGAGAAAAAAAAGCTGAAAACTATAATATTTTTAAATTTGTGGTGTGCTGCATTGTCATAGTAAAATGTCAGTGGTGGCAGCACTTCTTGCCAGTGTTTGCAGTGTAGTTATGTTAACATATTAATGTAATTTTCCAACAGTGTTATGTCCAAAGATAAAGCCGTTGTCACAGCAGGACACATGCAGGGCTGGCTGCCCGGTGAGGCCGCTTAGATTCCTAATGAATACATCCTTGTTAAATACAAATTCCTCATTATTCCATTACTGTAAGTGGCTTTGCAAACTGACAAACTTCTGCTCCTGGTCTGGTTGTTCCCATGTAACTTTGGACTTGAATACTCCCAGAAGCTGCTCTGGTACCTCAGTGTAAGCTTTTATCCCTTGCCCCATCTGTGGAAAGTATTTCCATGGAGATGCCATGCTAACAACTGGACTGAGCGTGTGTCGAGAGAAATCCACGCACGAGGGCGGGCAGCCAAAGGATGACTGATAACACCACTGGCGAATGCAGGCATATTGTTAATACCTGTCAGGGCTCTGACAACAGGCATTTCCAGTTTCTGGTTCATGCACATCACAATGTACTGATCTGCTTCATTTCAAGGGCTGACTATGGCTAAAAGCAAGGTATTCTCTTACAGCAATGCCACACACAGTCAGGGTCTCAGCAAAGGTAAGAGTCTTGCAACAAATGGGTATAGCCCTTGCTCTTCTCCCTTACCCTAGAGAAAGCACTGCCTGCCCAAGCCATGGGTAACTGCTCCATCTGATGCTTATGCTTTTTAACCATTGATTTTCCTTGGCTAAGCTTCACTTGTGTTCCTGTTGAGTGCATAATGTTCTATAGGTCCTAGGAAGCTTGCCACTTGCAGCAGAACTGATGGGTGCGTGGGATGTTTTACATGCTGTTCAATAGTTTATAGGCACTCGTAAGATCCAAGCTCAACTGGTACAGCAGCTTCTGGGTTGTTCCAGGGCTGCTGGACACATGTCACAGTACAAGGGATCCAACTCATGCTTGTTTGCACGCAACATGCTCCGTTCTGTTCCTGCTGTCGGGTGCCAATTATCCTTGACTTCAGTGGGAGCTTCATGTGTGTACTTGGCAGAATAGCTTAGGCCTGTGTGGACGATTCAGCACAGTATTTCATATGAAAGAGCCCTAGTGGAATGGAAGACAAGCCACAGATGCTGCTCAAAGGTCTGAGTTTCTGCCCTAACATTCTTCTGCACACAGGTTGAATTGGCGTTATACAAAGCTCTAGTGGCTATTGAAGCAAATGATTTCGGAGAACTGTAATTATCTGCTTCCATGGAGGAACTAGATAGTATCTTGGCACGGAGTAGTTATTTCATGGAATGTTTTTGTGGTTGTTTTTCTTGTTTTATAGGGGGTTTTAGGTAGGCTGTTCTATAGGTGAACTTTCCATTCACAGAGGTTGCATAATGTTACTTCTGAATGAACACAGTTATGGCAGGAATCTATCTTGACAAAGACTCTAAAACAGATTAATGCAGTTTTCTAAGCCTGAAGTCAATTTTGAAATTGGAATTTGCTAATCCCTAGGTTTTAGGCTTGGAAGTCATGTCCTTACTGTCCAGTATGTCTGGCATGGCAATAGGAAAATGGCATGTTACCCTACCCAGGGTACTCCTCACGAGCAAAAGCAAACCTGCTGGTAGTACTTGTATTTGAGGGGGACTTTCACTGCATACCTTGGTATTTCAACATTATTTTTTTGGCAAAAAAAACGTTGTGGTAAAGCATATTGTGTTTGATGTGTACAGTGGCATGCACACAAGTACCCTTTTGGAGCTGAGTTTGTTTACAGCAGGGATCACAAACCCCCGTGCAGTGCGAGTGCCCCGTGTGCAGGACGCTGTGCAAACAGCTGGAGAGGCAGTTTGTGTGTCACTGCCTCCACGATCAGTTCCCATTGCAAAAGCATAAAAATAGTGCACATCTGTTCTCTGCCATGGGTGTTGTCTCTCTGAAAGCTCCGATACCATCTGTGAGTCTGGCCTGCTATTCTCTCACTTGTGCATACTGCCAAAACTCATCCTCCCTGTTTCCTGGTATGGGCAGAATAGGTCTGAGATCCATCCGACAGAAATCCTACTGGGAACTCCTCGTAGTCCTGCACTTGGCCAATTTGATATAAGCATACTTGTAATGAGGAGATTGTCTGGTCTGTGCCCATTAGAGCAGCTGAATTCTCTTTCTCAGAGCTGAAGCATGGCTTGTCAAGTGCCCAGAAAGGTGTGATGGGGGTTTGTAGGAAACTCTGATACGTAACTGTGAAGATCAGGAGTGCAATGTCATGGCATTAATATTTTGCCATTATTTTCTTGGGGTTCTTGTCCACTCCTGGTTTACAGGAGAAGATGTGCTGGGCAAAGACTCCGATAAAACCTAGGAACCCCACAAAACCCCCTTGTCGTGCTTTAAACAGATGCATATTTCTCTAGAGCCAATGCAGGCATTGCAGGAGTTTCCTTGCTCTCAGAAGCTGTACGATAGGCACTATTTAACAACATGAGATGAAAGAAAATTTCTCATGTTAAAAGTTGTAGTTTACAAACTACTTGTAAATTTGCTTGCTATTTATCTTAGTCTTCAAAATGGTTCGTAGTCTCTGCCATCTCTTGCATTGTGGCCAAGCAGATTTTATTACCTCAGGGAAAACCAAAATGAGAGAATAAAAATAAAATGGGTTTCTTCTTCCTGACATGAAGAACCAACTTACAAGAATACAAATTGAGTGTGGGTGTGCATGTGTCTGTATTTTGGGGGAGGGCACTTTATTTTCAGTAATAAAGAATAATTATATAGTTTGCATAAATAGCCGCAAGGATAACCAGAGTGCGTCAGACATCCAGTTATGCATGTGTTAAAGGTTAATGCTATTTGTTCTCAGTACATTTAGTCTTTGCAAATCATGTGCTGACATGCATCCCATTTTGGTATCTGTGCACACACTCCGGTAATGATGCGTAGAGCAGGAACTCATGCCTGTGCCATTCAGTAGTATTTAGTAATTTGAACTTTTGTATAAAGGTCTTAGAAAATGGCAAGGCAGAAAACGAATGTCTTCTTGCTGCTAATTTTATCTTCTACCACGCACTCCTTTCTGGAGATTAAAAGTATTATGAATCTATTCACTACTGAAAGTTATTTCAACTTTCTTAGCACAGATCAGGATGCAGAAAAGCAAGTACATGTTCACAGCTGGTCCTTGGGTCTCTCTGCTGGAAATACAACCTGTTAACCTGCTACATTTCTGCTTAAAAGAACTAAAATTAATGAAATAAAACAACTAACTAGTGGATCCTCATTAAATAAATACTGAAATAAATAGTACAGCTAGGTAATTGACTGCATATGTAAACTAGCTGTAGATAATTGACATGACCTTCATTTAACGAGCCTCCTTTCCATTAGAGGAGACAACTGCCACAATTACGTGCCCTTATTCTAGCTGTAATTGTATGGACTTTATTGAAGTACAAACTAGGTCACGTCTTCCTGAGATGTGGTCCATGGTGGGTGACCTCTTTTCATTGCTTCAGCTTTGCTGTGCTGCATGAGAGAAGGATGTTCTTGCAGACATGAGAATGGATGTCGTTCAGGGAACAAGTATCAAATGTGATTTCTGATGAAGATGTCTTGTGTGGCCTGAGGGAGTAGCTTATGGCTAGATCCCAAGGAGGTTAGCATACATCTAAGCTATTTAAAATAGAAATAGCTTATATGTATTTTATATAAGTTTGTAGGTGTATACACCAGTCTATGGGACAGCAGCTGCACCAAGATTCCCTCTCCTGGAGAAGTCTTTGATCTTTTATGCCCAGTGACATAGTTGAACAGGAAGAGTGCAGAAGAGCTGCAGCCTTTGGTTGTTCCTCGAAGGTGGGGAGTAGACCTGAACCTCCTACGTCTGAGGAGGGAGGGGATGGATGCACGACAGGACTCCAGATTGAGGCTGTGTCATCAGTGATTTTATTTTGTATTTTTCTAGATGCATGTCTCACTAAAAGTGGCCATGGCTACTCTGTTTTGTCCAGCATCTAGTTGTGTTGATGCCTTCAGAACGTGCAGTATCAGCCAGGTTGTTCCAGTTGAGAAATACTCAGCGCTATGGAAAACAGTTGCTGAGTCTACTGGGGTAGCATCAGGCCTGGGTGTACACAAAAGGACTTGGTTATCTCCATGAAGGCCTCAAAGTGGTGGATGTGCCCAGCATGGAAAGGGGCAGGACCTTGCTTGGTACTAGTGTGCTGGGAAACCAGGAAAATACAGCTTTCTCCCATATTTCATCCTGGTTCCACTTCTGCGTGGGGTGACATGGTGACTTCCTCAAAATAGGAAGGGTGTATGGGATCTGTTAGCCTTTGGGGTTTACAGGGCACTTAGTGTAACAGGACGGGCAGTACCTTTAATCTTTGCAGCATAGTGAAGGTTTGATAGTTGGGGAGCAGGGCAGAAGGACTGGAAGCTGTCATCCAGAGTGTTTCCAATGACCTTTTTGGTGCTGCATTGTGATATTAGTCCTGCCTCACTAAGTAAGAGATGAACCGTGCATTTGTGAGTCAGTTCAAAAGTAGCTGCAAGGTTGTGTGTTTCTACCCATGGAGTGAGATTTAAATCTTAATTTGCTACAGCATGTTAAAATAGTAGATTTTGAGCAGCTGCTTCTAGAAATTGTTATGGTCTCCAAAATGAAGAGATTTCCTAGGTGTTAAAATATTACTTCCTCATATTAAATCACTTGATATTGTTTTGCTGCCAAAGACAAGGGCTGTGTATATTACTCAAGTCACTGTCAAGATAGAGAGAAGAATCTTTTCATATCCTACTAGTGCAGTTCGGCTTAGTCTGAGACTCATTTACAATGAAGTAGATGTTTGATCTGGGTCTGCTTACTAGCAATATTCCATGTGTCTGCACTGCTGAATCTTGCTTTGACATACTCTTCTACTGTTATAAATGGGAGGAAGAGGGGTGGCTTTTAGGAGGACGCATTTTCTTCTGTACTATTGGTATGTTGTGTGGATAATAGCTGTCTTGAAGTTGGTTTTCAGAGCCTGGTTGTACATTGTTTCTTCCTACCCCAGATAATAGCAGTGGTTGTATGTCATCAGATGGGATGTAAATTGATCAAGCTTGACAGCCATTTCCTTCCTAAATGGAAGGCAAAATTGATTAAGGAAGAATTAATTTAACATGACATATAAAGTACTGTTAGATCTGGTGACCAGCCAGCCATCAGTGGAGGATGCTGAGGGCTTATTGAAGTCAATTGGTGAGGTTTCTCTGCACATCTGCCCTCTGTCCTTTTCCTTCTGCGAAAAATGTCCATGTGAACAAATGTGCACAGCCATTATTCTGTTCATTTCGCATCCCTCCGAGGTCATTGCTACCATGACAGGTAAACAGCCCAATGACAGCAGTGGAGGATGTGGCCTGGTCCAGGAATCCTTCTGCCCTTTGTTCACCTACCGAACTTGAAAAGCAGATGTTCAGCCTCCAAGTGGTATACTTGGCTGATGAGTGCAACCTGCTCTTTCTCTGTTTTGTGCTTGTCTTGGTGCCTCTTGTGTTGCGTCCTCTCTCTTTGGCACTGGAAGACCCTTTGGGGTTCTACGTGCTCAGCCAGAGTCTTTATCTTCCAGAGCCAAGATGTTGGCTGGGACCTCTGGGCACTACTCTAATAAAAATAACAGGAACTTGATTAGGAGTCAGAAGATCTGTGTTCTGTTTACTGCTCTGGTGGTCACAAAGTGTGATGTGGGTGTTGGAGTTTTTTTTTCCTTTTAAGTTTTATATCAAACAATTCTCAGAAGAGGAAGGGTATGAATTATTATTTTTGTTGCCTGTTTCACTGGCTCTGCATTTATATGCTAGCTGAACATATCCCTTCTCCCTCTTGTCTTGTCTCTCCTTGTTTGATAAAGGAAGACTGATAACCTTCTTCCTTGTGTTGTTAATCATCCCTGTAGTGTCTCTCTTCCTCCCCTTTGAGGAAGAAATCTGATATTACTCCCTGTAGAATGTTTTAAAAATCCTAGGGTGAAAAAATCTGCAAAATATTAATGTTCTGCATGGTTAGAGCAAACACTATGTTCCTGTGAGTCACAGATGTCAGGTTTGTTTAATCTTAATAAATCTATGCCACAAAAACACTTTTAAACAGGAAGAGAGATGGAGGGATGAAGGAAGAGTTGTGCTGGGGTAGAGAGGATTCTTAGCCAAAATCTTGTTTAGTGGGAGGCTGGGGGTGAGGAGGGCACGAACACAAACCCAAACACTTCCCACCCCCCCACACTCCATTAAGTAAACTTTGAGTCCTACATTTTGGGCACTGCCTTTCTAGTACATATTTCATTTTTCTTTGTATGTTTTATGATAGATTGTCTTTCCATGTTCGAGTCTTAAGAGTACTAGTTTCCCACAGCATATTTGCAGGAGATGAAGTAAGGCTTTTTACATAGCACCCTGTTGGCAAACAGAAATAGCATTTACTCCAATGAGCGCTGCCAAGTATGAGGTACTTCCGAATGAACTTCAAAAGCTCTGAAACAAGCATTAGCTGCTGCTTCAAAAATGTGAACAATGCCATTGCTTTCTAGCAAGCAGAACTGGTGAGAGCAGGGATTGGAAGGAGGAGAAATAACAACTGGATGTGATGGATGTTGTAGTAGCACTTGGGATCAGACAGAAAGT